ATCATTTGCCACATTTTTCTTGTTTGAACCTATCTCCGTTCCCCCAACGAATATGTTTCCCAGGGACTAAGACTGGGTTTCATTCATGCGTGTACCCCCAAAGGCCCAGCACAGGTGTTCAATAAATCCTGAGTACCGGGCGCCTTTCTAAGCCCTTTAAACTTCCCCTGTTCCTTAAGAGTTAGATTCCCCACTTCTGTAAATGCCAGGTCCATATTTATGGCTCCAGAGCCTGGCAATAGAGCTCACTCTCATAATAACCATTACGGCATATTGCCTGTAGAATAAACTCACAGGAGTACCAGACTTCACATTCGCCTGCCCCCGACGGTACTGCCTTCCCGAGGCATGCTTGAGTAGATAACCGCTAACATTTACTGGGCACCAGGCAGCTAGACACTGCGCTAATCCTCTTAAACGAATAACGAGATAGATGCTATCCACCACACTTTACAGAAACTGAAGCTCAGGAGAATTAAGAGACTTTTCCCAGGTCCCACAGGGCGAGGATTCAAAGGAGGTGTGTGTGACACCAGCTCTGCCAGTAAACACTGTCCCATACCCACTTCTGAAGAGCAGAATGTCATGAGGGATGGAGGTGTCTAATGGGTTTCCAATGAAGATATTTCAAATTATGTGCACTATCCGCGAAAGCAAATATGGCATCAGAAATATGACAATTCTTATTCATTGGAGGTGACCGAACCAAGGCTGGGTGGCCTTTGGTCAGCACTATTGAGAAGATTCATTTACGTAGTGGACCGTGGGAACTGATGACAGTTGAAGGCCTTTCAACTCAAAGATTATATGAATCTTTCCTTTCTCACTGGGAACTCTAGCTTTTAGTCACCTCGTGTTGACGCGTGTCAGTTAAAGAAGAGAAAAACCCAAGAATGTGTCATAGGAGAAAGAACTGAGACTAAATCAAGACAATCGAAAAGCAAATATTCTGGCATGAAGAAGTCTTTTTACTATATAGTAAACCATTAGCTCTGTCATCACGTCACTTGATGTAAATGATATTTTAAGTTTAAATCTCATCAAAAGAGGATCAAATGATAAAAATCATTTAGAGAGTTCTTTCTGAAGGCTTAGAATACTTTAAAAAGAATACCGTCCACAGTCGCTATGAAATAAGCATGTTCGTGGAGGGCATTTGTCCAACACATCATTTGTAGACCAAATCCACAGTATCAGAGAAACAAAGAGTGAGAGAATTTAGGCATGAAGAGCTTGAAGTGAATGGCTCAAGATAACAGAAATAATTACGGGGAAAAAACTGAGACCGAGAAATCTTTCCCTTGATAGCTAATGTTGAGTATAATCAACATCCATAAATAATTAAGCTAGAAGTAAGGAAATTAAAATCAAACTAGAAAATAGCTAACTAGAGGTGAAGAGACAAGAGGTTATTTTAAATTGCTAGGTTGGATCCAGTATATGGTTTTATCTGTTTTTGGTGAAGTCAAATTGATATGCATTCAAAATACACAGATGGCGCTATACTATTCACAGGAAGGACAGCCCCTTACACTTCTCTGAAATGTACTGTGCACACTGTGATAGAAAGAGACAAAAATAATGCAGAGATATACAATGTAAGCAGTGCTCACGGAGTTGCCCAGGGCACAATTTGCCCAACTGTACACCACCAGCCAGACATATGGTTTCATGGGAGATAAGCGTGACACATTAAAAAAAAAAAATGATCATTTCAATCTCTGTTTTCAATTCAATTTTCAACACTTAGAACTTAACTTGCAGTATCCGTTTCCATTTGCTTCCTCAACATCCAGACTCCCTTCTTTCAACAGCGGTTGCCATTTTTCTCACCTCCCAATACGGGTGTGCAGCCTTGTACGCTGCCCTCCTTCATACGTACTGACTGGCTCAGACATGGGCACGTGACCGAAGCCGTCAGAGTGAGAGTTAATTGCATTACTTAGGCTGAAAATGAGAGCGAGAATTCACATTGTAAAGGGCTGATATGGCGTCTATGGATGGAGCCCAGGAGCTACAAGGGCAGAGGCCACAGAGAAGCAGCAGGAACGAGAGATGAAAGGGGCAAACCAAATCCTGATGACACTGTTGGAACACCCTGGTCCTGCACCCCAGGAACCTATAATGATATTTAAGCACACGTGAAGCTGGAATGACAATCAGACCCCAAAATGCAATGACTTAAGTTGGGTAAGAGTTTATTTATGTCTCGTGAAACAACCCAGGTGGGCAGATCGTCCCGGGAAGATAGGAAGCTTAGTCTCTAGCTGGTGGGTCTACTCACTGCCACGTCTCAGGAAGGGAGAAGAGACGTGGGGGTTAGGGACTTCAACATATAAATTTTGGAGTGACATAGATGTTTAACCTATAATGCTACCCTTATTAAAATCATAGTAATTAAAGTGAAACCAGTGTGAGTTCAAAATAGAAAGCCTAGTACCCTTCTCCTATTTGGACATCTTGCTGATATGAAACAAAACCTCTTGTTGATATGATACAAAACTATGTCATGAATTGAAATAGAACTTTGTAACCACAGCATCCCAGTGCCAGAAATTAACCCAGAGGTTCCTTGTCTAATGTATTCACAGCAGAAATCCACTGTAGCTTGAAATATAAAAGATTTGTGGCTTTCTTTCTGCATTTCGGTCAACCAATTGTTGTTGTTTGTTGTTTTTTTATTATTATTATTATTATTCAGCTCTTTAGGACAGAAAATTAAGTACAGAAATCCAGAGGCTTCTGCCGTTTTCCAGAGCAGATAATGGGCTCCCAAGCTTCACCAAAGGAGGCTGTGTTTTCATCAAGCACCACACCGTTCCAAGGCAGAGGCTGAAATGGCACTTGTCCAATAACTTTACCAAAAATAACTTGAGCTTTGGCCCCGCTGCCTGCCGCTCTCAGTGGGAGAGTCACAGAAACATATGCAGCCTTTCCTCTAACAAGGTGAGACAGCGCCATTGAAAATGATTGGGCTATCACTGAGGAGAGAGGTTCTTTGCTTTGCGGCCAAGTCGCCCTCCACCAGTCCTTACCCTGCTAGAGAAGGATGGATGACTCGGGAGATGGGACCAAAGTCAGGTGGGACAAGCCCTAGGAATAGGTCTGCTTTGGTTACTCATGGCTCCTTTGCTCCCTTCCTGCATTCAACAAATATTGACCGAGCATCTGCTAGAGGCTGAGATTGTCCACGATAAGCTGTCCCCATGGAGCCCATATCCCAGTAGGAGACGGAAAAAATAAACAAGTAAATAAACAGTTTAGATAGCTACAGATGGTGGTGGAAAGGAAATGAGCGATGTGCTAGGTAGGGAGCAACAAGCAGCCCTACTGCAGATGAGAGAGAGAGTCAGGGAAGACTTCTCTGAGGAGGTGACGTCTCCGAGGAAAGAGGAGAAGCTATGCAAAACCTCAGAAGCAGTGCACTCCAGCTGGAGGGAAGAGCACTTGAAAAAGCCAGGATGCGGGAAAGAGCCTGGCAAGTTCAAGGGGTTGAGGGAAGGGCAGCATGTCTTAAGCCCAGAGGAGGGCGTGGTGTGAAGTGTATTTCTAGAGACACGTTGGCGACACTGCAATCTGCATCCTCAAAGGCCACAGCAAGGGGACTGCATTCTGTTTAAAGAGGGGAAATCATGCCGGGATGTCTGATTTATATTTTCAAAATAGTATTCTGTCTGATGAATAAAAAATAGAAGGAACTGGACTGGAAACGGTGAGACCATATAAAAATCTACTTCTAAAGACTTTTACTCAAATATTTTTAAGAAAAGAGAAATGAACCTTCTGATGAGAATATACATTTATATCTATCGCTGCAACTATTTGGGGGCATGAGTGATGAATGATAGCTATTAAAAAATTTAAAACTTTGATAACGGCTTATCCTTGGTCCTCAACAATTCCCATTCAGGAAATGTCTCCAAAGGCACAAATATTTAGTTACAAGAATATTCACTGTAGTGTTGTTTATGATAATATGGATATTTATCTTAATATGATACATATATCTTAATATAATATATACTTCTAAACATATTATTTCACATGGAATTGTGTACATCCGCGTAAACAAATTTCTAAAAGAGCTGGGAGCATTTGGGGGCAATCATTCCTCGTTAAGCTTTGCTTACTAAAAAGTTCTTTCTGTAAACCTGGCTGAAATTTCCATAAGGTCCCTCGCCTTTTTGGCTACTACTATGCAAGACAGAGTCCATTTCAGCTT